TACCTGGCCAGATATCACATCTCTTGCTTCACCATGATAAATCGCATCCAAATTAAAAATATAGGACTCACGAAGCACTATTGATCCTTGTAGTAACAGAGTCTCACAGCTTGGTCATAGCAGAATGGCATTAGCATATTATTTAGAAGACAGGATGAGTTTAAGGGAAGACAAGCGCCCCTCCTACAAAATAGTACTCCACAGTGAAACTCTGATCCTAATTCTCATTACGCAGCATAAATTACATTTACAGTCCCCTTACTTCTTCCATATACTGCCAAAACAGTATAAAGGGATCTTGGTATAAATGAAAATCGGGTCATTTATTTTTAATCTTCAACTGAAAACTGATGCACATCATCACTTTATGGCATGGATTAAATCCAACTTTATAAGCAGGGCCAGCTTGTAGTTGAGGAAACTAAATCCTTTTCTGGTATCTGGAGAGTATCTGACCAGGTGTGGAAGCAATGATCAGTTGATAATGCCTGTTACATCAAAGTGACTGTAACTCTTAGACTTAGCAGAGGATGTTTAAGATTTCCCAAAACAAATACAGGTAGCACAGTAAGCAACGTGAAAGGCAACTGGTCAGTTAATTAGAGAAACTTCACATTTGTGGGATTTTTGTCCCTGAAAGGCAATCATAAGGTTGGATAAGTGCTCATTGCACAAGACTTTTTTGTCATCTCTCTACAATTGAGAGCCTATTTTGCATTTGAGCCAAACCGCACATTTCATATACTGCCAACCTTTCAGCACACAAGTTGACAAGCTGTGCTTACACAGAAGGTAGATAAGAATAAATTAAATTAGATCATTGGCTTTGTAGCAGATGGTGGGTTAATCCAGTTTACAAAATGAAATCTAAAAAAAAAAAATGCTGGTCTCTTCCTAACTCCTTACCTGAGTTTGCTGCAAATGTATAAGATACAAGTTACTTTATCTAGAATGTCAGTGTTTTAATGAAAAGTTGAACAAAATAGAGCAGTCCAATTGTTTACTCATTAGATGAAAAGCCAGAGCCGTGGCTTCAGGTGGTTTGAGTTATCTCAGTGGTGCAAACCAGCTAGAAAGCTGCCTTACAGAGCGCTCAAGGATTCCTACTGATAGAGGAAATTCCACAGGTGGGAGCAAGCCAGAATAGCTGCCCACTCTTTGGTGCCTTGGAAATGGTAAACTGGCAGGGGGATGGCGGTGGGCCAGACTTTAGAACCAGCGTCCTACTTTATACCTGACCAGTAAAACAATTTTTCAGCTAAAATAGCCAATTTAGCCAGCAGAGGGGGCGTAAATCAGGTTATGGAAATCTCCAAGCTACTGTAGTGACGACAGCTTGCTAGTCAAGCTGGCCAATAAGATAGCTCCTTGTGCGGCATAGATTTACCGTCTGAGTAGGCCTGGCTTGCCCTGGAGGGAGGGAGTGCAGAAGAAGCTTTCATGCATCTTTACCACAGCTTATCTTATACTATCCTCAGCTCCATTGACTGGAAACTGGGAGCTTAGCATCTGGACCAGTCTTTAATTAACCGTCTGTCATATTAGTGCAATACATTGCATTTCCCCTTTTGCACTTGAATCTCAAATTTCAGTAGGAGTTAAACTGGGCCTCGTAATCTATTAAATGGTATAGCTGAAGTTTGTACAGTAGAATAGCACGTCTACTGTAGCCCAAAATACCGTACAGAAGGCAAACACGGTATGGAGGCAAATGTGTTTGCTTGTTTCGAAATCACCTTTGCAGGAGCTATGTGTAAGCCCCCTGGGGAAGCAACGTAGCCCAAAGATAAAACAGTTATGGAGTTAAGTAGTAATACTATAAGGATGGAAGAATGGGGCTTCAAAAAATTGAGACAAGAGAAGTTTCCAGGTGAGATTTGTGACAGGCTAGAATATCGAGTAGACGGAAGAAAGTGAGGCTGGCTGTTCCCGTTTGCAAAAAAGGTACTTGTGCTAACAGCAGTGAGAACGTATGAAGAGGAAGAGAGGTAGCCAGTATTATGCTGGCAATGAGAAGTCAGGGCTTCAAACTGGTAACATTTTTTTCCAGTGTTTAGTAAAATTGAGTACATGCCTACTGTATGAAGATTTGTGCTCTCAAGATATTCAAAAGAGATTTATAAGCAAACGGCACTCAATCCCAATTGATAAAGATATCTCTGTCTACAATCTTGCATGCAGTGCAGTTTTATCAGGCATTTTGCATTGCGATTCTAGAGGAGCAAAGAGGTTTTTGTAGAATTTACATTTTTAACCAAGAGAAAAGAAGGATATTAATGGAAATGGTGAGGTGAGGCAAAGCACTGCATCTGTTAAATAGACATGTATTACTTCCTGTAGTAAACTTCTGAGAAATACTTCTCCCAGAATTAATGGCTTTCAGTGCTGCATGTAATCTGGTTATTACAAGAGTAATACTTAGATTTGAAGGTAATTTGTCAAAGAGCAGTAGTTCACACACATACCAACTTCTTGGTTAATGTAATGAAAATTGGATTTATTTTAAGATTGCAAGATAGCAATCTTTCTGTAATGATAGACGTCACTCAGTTTAATTCAAGGAGAACTTATTTTCTCAGCAATACACTTTGTTGTTCAAATATCCAGCCTTTCACATGAAGCCTGTCTAGTGGTATTACATGTAATCTCCCACAGGCTACAATACATGAGTCCAAGGCTGGCAACCACGATCATCTCTATAAGGCAGTTGCTGTTTTTCAGGAAGGAAACAGACTGTCAAACATATATACAAACAGTTCTGCTAGCTTGCCAAGCTCTGGCAAGAGCTACAAAAACAGCAGCACTTCTCCAGCCCAAAGGGAAGAGAAAGCAAGTGAGCTTGGGGAATTGGTGACAATGGCTGACAGAATGCTTAAGGTATTCAATGTAAAAAAGAAACGTGGAAGGAAAAAGGATACGTTGCACATCCAGGATACATTACCTTGTGACTTGCACCCTATAGCCTATGGTGATGGTAACACAGGAGGAAGTCATCAGGCTTATTAGTGAATGTATAGTTACTACCACTAGCACCAACTGCCTAGAAGTGGGTTTTTCATTCTGCAGGAGACACCTGGTAGATGTGAGGAAACAGCCATCAGAGCCTTTACGTGGAGAGTCTGATCGCACCATTACTGAGCTTACAAGTAAAAAATGCAGGACCTTTCTCTAGCTCCAGCTTCCTCTTAAGTCCCTTAGGGTCAACCCCTACCTCAACAGACTCCTGGTACATGCAGGTTTGTTCCTCCCCACCATCCCCTGCTGCTGAACATAACCAGAGACTGAATTCTGCTCCCCTATGACTTCTTTGGTCCAGGTGTCTCCCTGATCAGCCTCCTACCAGGTAATCAACCCCCTGCCAAGTGACATCATTAGCAAGGCAAGCTCCCCATCTGAAACCAGTTCTCCTTGGTAGGAGCTCGTTTATCACATAGAGCAATTATATTTCAGTGGTACACTTAGAGTCATCAAACCTCTGTTGTCAGTTCTGCCTTCTTGCACTATGGAGAGTAAGACCAGCACAAAGATGAAAAGGCAACAAGGAAGGGAAGGATAGGGCAAGGAAGGTAAAAGACTGCACATCCCAAATTGTATTGGCAGCCTGCTAAAGATAATTCCAACCCCACGCAGTATTCATAAATTGTACCGATTTTCCAATTCGTTAGTCTGTAAACCAGAAATCATTTTAGATGTATGTATAATAGTTGCATATTTTGAGATAAGAAAGCCAGATTCTAGTCTCTGTTAACATCAGTGGAAATCTGCATTAACTTCATTGACTTCATTAGACTTGTACCAATTTTCACTAAACTAAATGAAAAATGAATGCACTTCTGAGTTGGCATGTAGATTTAAATCTAGCCTAGGAATGCATTATGTTTTCTTGCCTTGTCAGGTAATTAAATGAGAACATGGAACATCATGTCTGCTGTGTATATATGAACAGTAAGATCTGATGCAAAGATTTGAAGTGTTCTTAGGAACTACATGATGTCTCCATAGATTTGTTGACTGGGTTATTCCATGTCCATGTAATGATTGTCATTTGAGCTTTCAGCAGACTTTACAGTCCTTCCCTATATTTCATCATGTTATACTTCTGGTGTGGTAGGAGGTAATGTCTACCTACACAAAGACCTTGTTTCTGTTGCATCATCTTCAGTTATTTCAAGGTTGAAGCCTAACTTGCGTAGTCTTCCAGTAGGGCCTAAACATATTAAGAGCATTTTCTTTATTGCCTGTTATATCTATCGCATCAGGGAACTGAGCAATGCCATTTGCATACATCCTCGAGCTGAGCCGGCACTGGAAACTACTGTGGTGCAGAGGAAACATGGCTGCTAACTACACCTTTTATGGGATACAGCTTGTTTCCTACTACAGCTTGGTTGCAGCCTGCCATGGCTGTGCCTCATCTTCATAATCACTTCGGGATGCCATGCACGCCTTGAAAAGCAGGAGGGGAGCAGTTCCTGATCTCCCTTGAGCTCCAAGATTGGGACCGTGCCCCACCACTTCGACAGTCTGGCAGCATCTGGTCAGAATTGACTTGGGAACACAGTAGGCTGAGTTTTGCTCAGTATTGGGTAGGAATAGGTGAATGGCTTAACTTTGTGGTAGTGTATTAATTCAGCACAGCTGTGAGCAATTTGTCAGTTGAAACTTGGGACTTAGCATTGGTGTGGCATTAGAATCTGCCAAGGCATTACCTTATTCATACAGCCATTATCCTTTGAATTGCAAGCATTTCCATTAACTGCTGGAGAAATTCATCAGCCTGCTTTGGCCAGTCTCCAAAGGAAAGTGTGAAAACTAATTAAACATCTAGTTTTAAGGTAGTATTATAAATTGCTTATTAGAGCACTTGGAATTCTGATTTATTCTAAACAGAAGCAAGTAATACCTGACTTTTGCAGAAAATGGTGACACAACCTTCTTTTTTAGTTTAATTAAAAGTGTTGTAGATTAGGAATCAATTAATCGGTCTTCATTTTTTGCAGCAGTACATTTGTTTGGCTTAACCTGGCAACTGCAGCCTGTTGAAGGGCAGTTGTATGAAAATGGAGTCAGCAAAGGGAACAGAGTGACCGAATCCATGGATACTACTTACTCGCCAATCGGAGGGAAGGTGTCTGATAAAACAGAAAAGAAAGGTATGTGTGAATTTGTAGGAATGAGGGAGGTTGACAATATTGAAACCTTAATACAGTTCAGGTTGCATATTTGTCACAGTTTGGCAATTTTTTAATCAAGGTTGTATCTCTTCAGCATAATTTGAAAGCAACTGTCAAGGGGCCGTGTTGTGCTATTGATTTCTTTATTTTTCTTTTTTTAGCACAACTCCCCACTGAAATCAGTGGATGGTCCCAGGTCATAAAGAGAGTGGTGCTCAAGTACGAAAATAGTTGCTCTCCTTTTGAAAAAAAACCAGTGATTAGAACCAGGTTTGGGAAACTTGGAACCATCTTGGGCAAAATAAGGAGCAACATGGTGTCCACTGTAAAAATATGTAAAGACAGAAGTCCTGCTACTCTCTTGGCCTCTTGGTGGTAGAGAGAAACCCCTTTTCATTATAGCCATAGGGCAGGAAAAAAAAACCAAGGATCAGAAAAGAGAAAAATCAAGAAAACTAGCTGGGGGGAAAGAGCATTTGAAGTGAGGAAAAGACTAGGAGGAAAAAAGTTAAAATAATTCTGAGAGCCCTGAAATGATTCAACAAAAATTGTCTGTCTTTCTGGGGAAGCAACAAGCAGTCTTTGTGTGCACAAAGTATCACTGTCTCCTCAATATGTGATGAGATGAGACATTGCTGCAGCAATCCTAACTGAAAGAATATTACACCCCAGGACAGGAGCCTTACAAATCAAAGTAGTGCAAGTGGAAAGAGATCGTATAAGAAAAATGAGCAATAAAAATATATAAAAGAAGGCAACGATGTTGTTGTTTGTTATTATTTTTTTCCCTTAGAATGGATTGATGGTGAGTTACAGTAAATACTGTAGACACAACTCTATTTGTGCCCTGATGCAATATGGGAAAGGGCCAAGGAACCTTAGACAGCTTATTCTCAACTATATTAAATCACTTTATCAATATACTTCAGATTTAACAAAAGCTTTTCTGAAGCATTTGGCTTCTAACAGGGGATTTATGGAAAGGGTTCACTGCATCAAAGGACAAGCTAAATTACAGAGTTACAAATCATGTTAGATGTTGGAGACTGTGTGCATGTGCATGTGCATGTCTCTAGGGCCTCACCGGGGTAGGTTAAACCCAATCCGCCCCGCGCTTTGCTCCGCAGGAGCTCCAGTGCATGGAGGGACTGTGGGTCCTGCTCCACCTCATAGGAGGGTGCATCCCCTGGATCCACTGCTCAGTACTGGGAGTTGGACTGATTTCCCATCTCCTTCTCTCTCAGCCCATTTGAGGTAGTTTGCAAGCTAAGGGGCACTAGTACTCCATGCACACTTGGAAGCACACAGGAGAACAGCTCTTTGGATCTCACCCGATTCATGCATGTGTTTTTGGTTTTGAGTTTTCTCCCCTGGTTTGACTTCTCGTCTTCATTTCCTGTCCTTCCAACCACCTCCCCCATCACACTGGGACCAGATCGCACCTGCCAGTGCTAAGGCAAGGGGAAGCAAGACTTCAGCACCTCAATGGCTCTCTGCTTAGTACTCAAGAGTTTCCTAGAATGAGGACGCCTTCCTTCTCAGGCTCTTTGATGCACCAGAGGCCCAAATTAGCAACTACAGACAGATAACATATATAGCGCATTACCATGGACGTGGGAAATGGCAGCATGAGCCACCCAAGGCACACTGGGGTGGCTGTTGCCTTAACTACATCAAAGCAGCAGGGTCCATTGGTGTAGATGCAGCTCTGCGAACAAGAGGAATTTTTCAGAGCTGTACCCCTCCCAAAACAACAGCAACTCCACCGCTGGGCAGGGCTGGGTCTGCACTGAAGGCTTTGCCAGCAGGGTTAATTTGGTCACTAGGTGTGACCCCAGCTCTGCCAGCAGATATTTGTACCATTGTCTCCATTACAATCTCCTTTATAAAAGAGCACAGGAGACATCAGGCAGCATACCTGGAAGCCTCTTGTTCAGCTATGTATCCCTACATCAGCAACTTTCATTTGGATGTAGAGAGTGCACAGCATAGGTCTTCCTGATAATGGATAAGGGGTGATATTTCCCCTCTAAACTTGAAGCCTAAAGAGAAGTTGCAGCGAAAGATAAGAACTGCCAGGCATTTGTGCTGTTCATGTACCCGCTCCATGTGGCAGTCCAAGAGAGCCTGACAGCCTTTGAAAGCATATATTTTAACTAATCTTTTAATGAAAATCAAATTTCCAAAGTGGCAAAGCAAGTTTAGAAGACATTTTGTAACATGCTGACCTGTGGCTATGAGTTAACATTTTAATACATGATTAAAAACCCAGACATCTTATTGATGCTGGTATTTACCAGGGGAGCACAAGGAGATTGATTGTTACAGGAATCAGTAATAATCAACCCATGAGTACTTTCTTGTGAAGATAATTGGCACCTTGCTGTTCAGGTTTTTACATTCTTGAAACCATAAGAGACCTGCGATTAAGAATCCGTCTTCTGCTTTTAGAATTACAAAACAGTATGTGCACAAAGAATCGTGGAGGATTAAAGCTGGTTAGTGAAATTTGGCGGTTGTACTAAGAAGAGTGTTTAGAAAACTATAAAATTTTAAATAGAATAATTTAACAAAAAGGATTTTGGTATGCACACAATACTCTGAGTCAAGGGCAGATCCAGGAGGGCTGCACCCGCTCTGATACCTGCTCCACCCAGACTTTACAACCAACTGCATGGGAGGGGCAGTGGCATTTCTATTTGGTCAGTGCTGAGAGAGTCAATTGACTTCATGGCTCATGAGCTTCTCCCTGATTCATGCTTATTTCTCTCCGCTGCCTGGGTTTAACGACCCTTTTCTGCGGTTTTCATGTTCCATTCTTCAAACTTCTGGAATTTGGCTGCCTATTGGTTATTCCTGGGAATGCCTGTTTAACAGCCCGGCAGACTCCTTGTACCTCTAGCTAAAAACTTTAACTCAGATGTGATAATATTAACTTAAGTGTAAAAATGACTGACAGTGAAGTATTGGATACACTGCCAAAATGGTTCAAGAAGGTCTGAATGAGGTGTATGTTTAACTGTAATGACGGCGGAACTAATGAGACAATATCTTGTGACTATTTTGATTATTTTTCCTAGTATTATTTTTTAATCTAATATATAATCTAGCAAATTAGTGCACATTCCAATAGTTATATTTGTTGTTTTTTTTATCCTAAACTGAATAATACAATTCTGGCTCCCTAGTATTAGTAGTAATGTGTCTGTTTTCCCTTTAACTGGAAAAAAAATTGTTGTGATGTATGTGAGGAGGTGCCACACCATTTCACTCCTTCCCCCCCTTCCTCCCCTTTTTCAAAATCCTGACCTGCTTATATTCTGAAGTGAGTCAGTGCCATTCAGGATATGTTTGGGCAGCAAGTCTCCCCATTTGCAAAGCTTTTTTTACTGAGTTTTTCTTCTTAACAGACTGGCTGACGGCAACATCCTGAGGGATAGTCAGCACGGGTTTGTTGCGGGTAGGTCTTGCTTGACCCATCTTATTTCCTTTTATGACCAGCTGACCTATCACCTGGACAAGGGAGAAGAGATTGATGTCATATATCTTGACTTCAAAAAAGCCTTTGATCTGGTATCCTATGATCATCTCTTGGCAAAACTGGCTAACTGTGGCCTCAGCCTC